GGGCTGCGGGGTCGGGCACCCCCCGGTGGCTCCCACGGCCCGCCCGGATCGAGCCGCCGTCCGGGAGGGCCGCGCTTCCGGCGCCGTTGGCCCGGTCGGGGGCGGGCCCGGGCCCTCGGACCCGCCTCCCCCGGGACCCGCCGGGAGGGGCCGTAGGGGGGCCCGGGGTAGGGAGGGGGGTCTGTGGGGTCGTGGGGGGTCACCTGGGGATGGGAGGGGTCAGGTCTGAGGGTCCCCGGGCCGAGGATGCCCGGGATGCTCTGATGGTCCCCGGGGATGGGAGGTGGCTGTGGCGGGGGGTGCCCGGGATGCTCGGAGGGTCCCCAGGGGTGAGTGGGTCAGTTCTAGGTGTCCCTGGGGATGGGGGTCCCCAGACTGGGGGTCTCCGGACCACTGAGGGGGTCTCTGGAGATGGGGGGGTCAGGTCTGGGTTTAGGGGGGATTCATCCCCCTAGTGGGATTTGGGCAGGTTCCCAAGGTGGGATTCATCCCCATGGGGGGATTTGGGCAGGTTCCCAGGATTTAAACCAACACCCTCCCAAATCCCGGGTTATTCCAAGATTTCCTGCCGTTGAGATGTAAATCCGCAGGTGCTTGAGCTCCTCTGGGCTCTGAGTGCCCGTTTTCCCCTGTTTTTCCCTGGCAAACAAACGGAGCTGCTCCTCTTGGATTCGTTTTTCCCGTAGCTGTGTTTGGATCCAGAATCCCGAGGGTTTTTTTTTTTGGAGGGGGGAGTTGCTGAGTTTTCCATGGATTTTTAGGGGGCTCCGATTCACCTGGAATCCAATACGAGCGAGGCACACACAGGGGGATCCCACTGGATCTTATCCCTCTTTATTTGTCCGGGATAATGGGATCTGTCCCGGGCTGTGTCTCTGTCCTGCTTTGCAGTCAGGGCTGTTAATCCCCAGCTCGGCCCTAATCCTGCTCAAAGGGAGGGTGCAGCCCTGCAAATTCCCTGCTTTTCTGGGAAGAAAGCTCCAGGTTTTCCAGGACAAACATTCCCTTTCATCCCAGGCCAGCGCTGGGCACCAATTCCATCATTCCCAGGAGGCTGCAAGGGAATGGGAATTCCTTTGCCAGGGAATGAGGTGACTCATCCCCAATTCCCAGGCTATTCCAGGAGCCTGGGACTCCCACCTGGCTCTTCCCAGGGATTTATGTGCTGTGGGAGAGCCTGGAAGGGAGCCTTGGACCTGGTGCTGGCCCAGGGAAGACTCCACATTCCCAGGGGGGAAAGTGTGTCCTGGGATATCCCAGGGATGTGGTGGGAGCTGGGGGCTCTTCCCTGTGGTTTCCTTGGAATTCAGGCTGCCTGTGACACTGGGGGGTGTGATGGGGGTAAATCCCAGCAGGCTTCCCAGGGATCCACAGCTTTTTCCAGGAGCTTTGGCTGCTCCTCCATCCCTGGACATCCAAACTTCCCTGTAATCCCATTCCTCTGGACATCCAAACTCTCGATAAATACCACCAGGCTGCATTTGAGATGCCCTGAGTGATCCCAAAGCATCTGCATCCCTCAGCTTCCCTGTTTGGAGTCAGGATGTTGCCAGCAGTGGGAATAAAGACCGTTCAAGCTCAGACATGTCCTCCCTGGCACCTGCTCCAGGGAATTTTTCTGGAGCAGCTGCCGGATGGGGAATTCACCAAGGGAAATGTCAAAGCTGAGATGTCTTCAAATCCAGAACAAAAGATTCAGCAAGTTTGTGAGGATTTAGGGGCCTCTTTCCCTTGGTTTAAACCTATTAATGTTAAAAAAACCCATGAATCTTTCCCAAAAACTCTTATCCTTTTGGGATTCCCCAAGTTGGAAAAACAGGCAGCAAGGGGTGGAAAGGGGGAGATTTTGGCTCTGTGGGCACAAATCTTCTTCTGCTTTGAAGAGTCCTCTTTTTTTGGGGAGGGGGGGTCTCTGTCAGCCCAGGGGAGTTTTGTGGCTTCAGGAATGGGGTGCAGGAAAACGAGGGTGTGGAAAACAAGGGAATGCTGCCTGGGAATTCCCTCGGCTGGCAAACGGAGCGTGGGGAGGTGGTGACACGTTTCTACAGCCCCTTTGTCACCCCCCCCTCCGAAGGACTGGGTGAGGTGGGTGGCACAGGGAGAAGGGGAGGGGTACCAGGAGGATCCCATGGGATTGGGGGGTCTTGGAATGGGCTCCCTGGGCTGATCCATGTGCTCTCTCCCGGCAGCTCCAGGGCCAGCATGGCCGCGACTGCCGCCGTCAGCCCCAGCGAGTACCTGCAGCCGGCTGCCTCCGGCACCCAGGTGGGTCCAGGGCGGCCTGGGACACAGGGATGTGGCCTGGGATGTGGGAGGAACCAGGAATAGCCACTGGGGATGTGGCAGGAGAAGGGTTGGTGGCAGGACAGGCTGGGGAGCTGCGCTCGGGGCTTCTTCCTGCTCCCGACAGCAGCTCTTCCACGGGGTTATCCCAGGGCTTGTTCCCAGTCCCAACAGCAGCTC